CTAGCAACGGCGGCGGCGGACCCCACCAGCGCGCCGACCGACAAGCCCGCCGCGCCGATCGTGACCGCGGCGGCGTTCAAGCCGCTCGTGAAGGTGCTCCGGCAGCAGCTCAAGCTCGGGATCCGGCGGATCGACTTCTCGGGGCTCGGGACGCTGCTGCGCCAGGAGTGCGCGACGGCGTACGAGCGCGCGGGCGTGACGAAGCTGAAGGAGTACACGAGCCTCGCGGAGGAGTTTGGGATCGTCGTCCTGAGCGACAACGTCTACGGCCCAGGCGGCATCGACGGCCAGCGCTGGGTGTCGCTGCACCCCGCCATCGTGGCGAAGGCGTCCGCGCAGCCCGCGGCTGCGTCCAAGGCGCGCAAGACGGTGCAGAAGTCGCTGGACGAGTGGTAAGTGCCGCCATGCTGGTACGGTGCGGTCGGACCCGTCTGAGTCGCCGGTGCGCAGGGTCTACATGGACCGCAAGGGTAGCAGCAAGTAGGGCACGCCATACGCTAGCTGGATGTAGTGCGCATGGGCACAGGCCCAGGGCGCAGCGTTGTAATCGTACCGGCCCACGAGAATGTACTTACTTACGAGTTTGTTTATGAGACCGTGTTTTCGCAAGTTGCATGTCGCGCCATGTCCTCGTGGTTCGCTTCTGCATTCATGAGGAAGGACTCTAAGGAAGGGAAAATATATCATCACGACAACGGACAGTGTGGGACAGCGATCTTAGTACAAAGACTTTAATTGATGCTAGGATGAAATGCTAGGGAATGATTAATCCTATCACACGACACGTACTTTGCCGAAACCAAACGACGATGCACGCCAACAAGACCGCATTAACCAATAATAGACTATGGACCACCGTTGGTCTGAGTGCCCTGCCACAGACCATAGCTTTTGCCCGGCGTTGTCTGCCACAGGCGGATAGTGCCTGAATTCAAGATGTCGTCAGTAAACGTGTTCTTGGTGCGAAAAGAGCTGATTCTTACCATCCTCTACGACATTTCCAAGACAATGTTGGGCAGTGGGTCAAAAACAGCAATTACGTCGATTGACTGTTAAGACTCACCGCTGCCACTCGCAAACATTTCTCCATCAGGACTGAATTCAACGCAGTGTACAGGGCCGTGGTGTCCTTTCAGCACCTCTCTCTCCTCTCCCGTCACATCGTGGATTCTCACCCATTCATCGCTTGTGCTTCCTGTGACGAAGCGGTCCTGGAGAATGGGATGGATTGAGGCTGACGAAGGCGCATAGGGCAGGGTCAGACTATGCGTCTGGCCTCCGTTCAGCAGGGCAGGGATAAACGAGACGGTCTTCCCCGAAGTCACTACCAGCCGGTTTGTCTGCGACGATAGCTCCATTGAGGTAATCGGGCCGGAGAAAGTGAGGCTGGTCGTCAACTTTCGCGTACGAAGGTCCCACCACCTGAATGACACGAGTAGATCAGACACATTCCGTCTTCATGACGGACGAGCCGTAGACCCACTTTATCAATCCGTCTTCTCCCGCTGTGACTCCAGTGTGATCGCCGACCCAGACCACACTTTTGACTGTGCCCTCGTGCGATATCGGACCGCCATTGTCGCTAAACACGTCCGGCTCTGCGTCTGGACGGCCGAGATCGAACATCCTCACTTTCTTCTCCTGCCCCCCGGTGAGCAGATGTGTGACGGTGGGCGATATCGCCACGCTCCGGACAATGTGATTGTGGGGGAATGAATGCAAAGACTCGCCGGAATAAGTGTCCCAAATTTTGCTGCAGAAATGACAAACACGTTTAGTCCTGATGTCCGGCTTCGATCCAGAAGGATCGCAGGATATCGTCACAGCGAGAAACGGACGCACGCTGTGAAGTCCGCGCTTCCAGAAGCTGCGCGCGACGTATCTGGGGACAGTTTGCTGGACCAGACGGCGCCCTTGTGCCCAATAAACGTCCCAATCCAATCGCCCGTCCACTCTCGCAGCATCGGGTTGCCATCCTTGCAGCTGGAGATCAACACGTACGTCTGGTCGTCTTGGAGCGAAGAAAAAGAAAGATGCGTGACGGGCCGGGTGTGGCCTGGAGCGACGAGAGGGACTGCCTTTGGGTGTGCCATCAGTAATTGAGTAATTCGTACAACAGAGACGTGAAGACGGTCGTAATACAGGCGCACCGCGCACTGTTGGATGCGGAGACAAGCTTGGATCGGTGCAGCAAGCCACACCCAGAAAACCGGGCATGTTGGATGCACGTGCCGTGCCGCGCGCCACCTCCACAAACTAGTCTCGATGAGTCGACTCGGGCTGTCCTTTGCTAGCTGCCTCTCTTGGACCACATTCCGTTCCATGCTGTTATACGATCTCTTCCTGGGTCAGTGTCGAGCCATCGGATGACATGCGTTTCAAATCTGGCGGACGTGAGCTTGTCCGAAACATCTTTAGCTCTTTCGACTAATGGCAACATTCACGGCGGAAGCACGTAAAGTGGCAATAACTTCTGCCTAAAACACTCTATTGAACCACTGGTATGGTGAGTCTTGTCGGCACTCTCCAGACGTGCCTGAGCCACGGTGGTCCCTGCTTTCCAACTGGCTAACCGTACATTCCATGTGTATCGGCATGAACGTCAGCCTGTGTTCGTTTCAGATCCTGCGAGGTGCAATCGATCGCTGGTCGCGTCTTTATAGGGACCACACTTGTTCCCAGACGTGTCGAAATCTGGGTACGAGACTACATACACATTCTGCTTCACGGGTTCCCGACGGCTGTCAAGATGCTATGTAGCACGGTCCGTTCGTCCTCGTGCAGTGAGCTCGAGTGCGCAGGCTTCTCGGACGGGACGGGATAGAAACGGGTTGCTGTTATCCTGTCGAAGCGGTGACGCATTTCCTGCTTGCGGACAATTCGGAATAAGAAGACACTTTGAGCGCAGGGGAGGAGCAGGGAAACCTGGGTGCTGCGAACATGTGTTGAACCTTTGTGATCATCTCCTGTCTGCATTCAGTAGCCTTTCGCCACTATTTCTGACGTGTGTATATTAGTGGATCGCCTTGGAAGTTTGGGACGCGTGCTGCGGCGACGCGGGATTCATCTGCTACGGATCTCGTCTTCGTAGGACACTGCGAGGCGGAGATCTGTATGGGGACTAGACGACCAATGGCCGACTGCCCAGACGGTGATGCGCCAAGCACGTCGCCCTCCCCCAACGCTGAATACGGTCACGTGGCCGTACCGGTGGTATGCAAGAGTCGCGATGAATTGCGTGCTCCCTCCCGGAAATGACCAGCTGCGTTACTCCTCCAGGCCAGCCAAAGGGCGTGCCTGACCATCTTCAGCGTCGGATTCTCTTCTATCGCATTGACCGTGCTCTTTGGCCGAGATGCGAAAGGCAGCACGGGTCTTCTGGCCAGTGCAGGTTCCGTAACATTCCTCGGGACTAAACACACGCGAGGGAGAGCCGGGCAGAAGGATCCACACACTTGTCACATTCGATCTATCCATCATTTTGCTATCGCTCAGCGACTTTCTTGCGCCAAGTTACGCGCCCGGACCCCCGCTATTTAAGTGCTCTCTCTCGTTTCGCCCTTCCTGGACCCCCGTGCTCCTCCCCGGTCCACTGCCATGACCATGTTCTCTGGAGTGACGAAAGCCGCCAAGCGTCTCGTTGGATACCAAGATGGAGCGGTCCCCACCGTCTCTGTGGCGCATTGGGTCAACAGCAAAAAACGAGACCCCAAGGAGGAGGTGAATGATTGATTTTGACTACCGTCCTCGCGTAAGCACTCAACTGACGCGTGCCCATAGGCGATCACCTATGTCAAGGGTCTATTCCCCATTTTCGGATGGATTACTAGATACAGTGTGTTGCTTCTGTTCGCTCTATCGCCCTTCCATAACTCTATTGCCAGACTTCGGCTGGCTCTATGGTGACTTTGTTGCCGGACTCACTGTGGGGATCGTCGCCGTCCCTCAGAGTATGTCCTACGCTCAGGTAATCATCTATTAGCCATTTTCTTGGGCGGCTAAATTAGGCCGCGCAGATCGCCACACTGCCTCCTCAATATGGTCTGTACTCTTCATTTGTCGGCACGTTGGTATATTCGGTAGGCCAGGGGATCTTTGCCCGGTGAACAGCAGCTGACCGCCCTACAGCTCTTCGCAACAGCAAAGGATGTAAACATTGGGCCCGTGGCTGTCATGTCGCTCACTGTCTCGCAGATCATTGCCTACGTCGATAAAGCACATCCGGGTGTGTGGGAAGGAACTCAGATCGCAACAACCCTCGCGTTCATATGTGGTTTTATCGTACTCGGCATCGGTATCTTGCGTCTGGGATGGATCGTCGAGTTTATTCCGGCGCCCGCGGTTAGCGGATATATGACAGGCTCCGCTATCAATATCGTTGCGGGGCAGGTGCCTGGGTTGATGGGTATAACAGGCTTCAAGTATGTGTTCTGGATAGTATGGCTTTTCGCATGCTCAGAGCCCTTTGCAGCACTCGCGCGGCAACCTATGAAGTGATCATCAACACGCTCAAGTATCTACCTCACACAAAACTAGATGCTGCCTTTGGTCTGGTCGGCCTCGCCTCGCTCTACATCATTCGTATCACTGCCGACCGTCTTATGCGTCGATTCCCGCATAGGCGTGAGTGCCATTATCGAGCATATGCATGATAGCTAGGACTGACAACATTGTTCACTTAGAAAAAATTTTCTTCTTCATTTCTGTCTTCAGGAATGCCTTCGTGATCATCATCTTGACGATCGCCTCATGGCTCTACTGTCGGCATCGAGAGACAAAGTCGGGCTCGTACCCTATCAAGGTTTTGGGCACTGTCCCTCGCGGCTTCCAGCATCTCGGTCCACCGCATATAGACAAAAACCTCATCGTTGCTCTAGCCAGTCAGCTCCCGGTAGCCACAATTATTTTGGTCCTCGAGCACATTGCCATTTCAAGATGTATGTATCTCCCCTTGTGGTCGGTTCTAGCTCTAAACTTCCATCATTGCAGCTTTTGGCCGTGTAAACGGCTACAAGATCAACCCCAACCAAGAGTTTGTCGCAATTGGTGTCACCAACACCATTGGCACGCTCTTCGGTGCATATCCTGCTACGGGTTCATTCTCCCGATCCGCCCTCTCCTCGAAATCTGGAGTTCGTACACCGGCAGCTGGTCTTCTCTCCTCCGTTATTGTCCTTGTCGCGCTGTACGGCCTCACACCGGCGTTCTACTGGATTCCGAGCGCCGGCCTCTCTGCCGTCATCATTCACGCCGTCGCCGACCTTGTCGCATCCCCACGGCAGGTGTACTCCTATTGGTGTGTGTCTCCGATCGAGTTCGTAATTTGGTCTGCCGCGGTCCTTGTCACCGTCTTCTCTACAATCGAAGATGGTATCTATACCGCCATCGCGACTTCCTTTGCTTTACTTCTGGTGCGGATTGCTCGTCCCCGCGGCTACTTCCTTGGAAAGGTTGAGGTACGCACTAGCGCCAAGCCCGGCTCAGAATCTCGCGAGGTCTATGTTCCCCTCAATCCGAAAGCAAATCTCATGAATGATACCATGAAAGTTGTTCCTCCAGCGCCGGGCGTGTTGGTCTACCGCTTCGAGGAGAGTTTCATTTACCCGAATTCTTGGCTTCTCAACACCGTCATCGTGGACTACGTGAAGGACAATATGAGACGTGGGAAGGATTTCAGCACTATCAAGATGAGCGACCGTCCGTGGAACGATCCTGGGCCCCGGCCCGGACAGGACGAAAACGCTGAGAATCTGCGGAAACCGGTATTGCATGCAATTGTTTTCGACTTTTCTGCAGTGTAAGTCGATTAATGCGACGCGTTCATGACCTTGGCTAAGTGTGGTTTCTATATTAGATCTCAGATAGATACCACTGCGGTGCAGGCTCTGATCGATACCCGTGTAGAGGTTGAACGATGGGCAGATAGACCAGTCGAGGTAAAGAAAGCCCATGATTCGGAATAACCAATCTTCTCATACTTTTGCATACAGTTCCACTTCGCGACTGTTCTATCGCCATGGGTCCGCCGTGCTCTGATCGCCGGGGGCTTCGGTGTCGGTGTACCACCCTCGGGTGTTCCGGCCGAGATCGCAGCGGTCGTCCCGTACCGCGAAGGTCAGACGCTCCCCGGGCTGAGAGGGCCGATGACGGATCTGGAGTCCACGCTCCCGGTCAACGAAGAGAGGCGAGACGTCAGGGAGCAGACCGGCCCAATCGACCTCCCGGATACGCCGTTCATTCACTTTGACCTCGTCAGCGCCGTACACGCGGCCGAGGGCGGACTCACTAAGACAGACTCACGGTCCAGCATGTCCAAAGCAGCGGATCTGTTCTCGGAATGATCGGCGTGCTTTCTAATGAACCTGTTTCTGTAACATATTTGCACGGGGTAGATGTTGGCACTGACGGATCGCGTAGAGTTGAATATCTATAAGTAGTACATATGCCGGGACTGCAAATGCTCTAATGATATTCTAGGTATTTGATAGGGTGGTGGGCTGATTCCCCATTATTGTTCCTTGGACCGTGTACGTGTAGGGTCTCGTTGCACAATTGAACATAGAATTTTTAGTATGTATGACTTTAAGGTCCTTGTGATTGCAGTTGGCCGCCGGCTCGCTTGAAGCTTGATGGAATTTCCAAAACGGGTATAGTCGCTGTACTTGATCGACTTCCTCTTCTGAACTTGGTCGTTCTCGTCCTCGTCACACAACAGCGACTGGCTGGCTAGAGCATGCTGCGACTCTCTCTGCCATCGACCAGTCTTCGTCGATCGTTCTTCACCTCGTCCATCAGCCACTCCGGCCACAACAAAGTAGGTCCGTACCCATCTCTCCCGCCTACTGCTGCGTTCATATGAGGTGTCTCCAGTGGTCCAAAATAAAGGAAAGGAAAGGAGCCAACGACTTGCGGAAAGGCGTGCTGTACAGCAAAGCTAATAAGGTGTGCTACAGTTTTTTCGGAGTCTATCGTGATTGAGTGTTTTCAATTTGTCCAGGATATTCTGCTTGCGGTGCGAAGTACGCTCTTGCGCTCACACTTCTTGCTAGTCCCAACGTTAGATATTCTTCACAGCTGGCGGAAGCGTAGACCCCGAACAGAATGCGACCCTCGCAGCCGTTATTAAGAAGGTGAAGTCCCAGGGCGTCCCGAAGGACAACATCGAGAACGCGCTGAAGAAGGTTCGTGCATTTGCTACCCCGTGCGGTCATGGCAACCCATTTCCTACCAGGCTGCGGGAGGGAAGGACAAGGGCGATCAGCAGTTGACATATGAGGCGATGGCGCCCGGCTCGGTTGGCATGATCATGTACGTCCCGTCGCGTGTGTGCTGTGGAATGACGCTGACTCTGTGAAGAGAGTGCATGTCGGATAACGTGAACCGGACGATGCACGCTCTACGAAATATTCTCACTGATCATGAGTGAGTGTCTTACGCAGTCGCAGTTGGAGCGATCTGATATGTGAATATTCCGACTCGTAGAGCTCGTCTGGCACCTGTCGGGTTTCTGTTTGCGCGGAGGGGCTGCGTCCGTGTTTCTCTTGAAAAGGGGGGCAATTTCGAAGACAAACTAGACCAGCTCATTGGAGGCCTGCTAGATTCGGGCGTGGAAGACTTCAAGGAGACCGTTACAACTGAAAGCGAAGCTGAGTTGGAGGTGCGAGACCGACGTAGATTTTTCGTCGTGATATTCATTTACACCCTTGTCAAAAAAGCTTTGGTGTCAACCACAAGACCTTGCGAAAGTCACCAATGCCGCCATGGAATCGGGCTTTTGCAGCGAGTTGCTCGGCAGTGAGCTGATATACACGCCATTGGAAAAGGGACCGGACATAGACGCGGATACGTCCAAACGATTAGACGAACTGGTAGACACCTTAGAAGACCACGACGATGTCTTGCGAGTGTGGACCACACACAATGCCTAGGGGGTTCACGCGTTGCGCTTTGACTACTTACACTAGTCATTTCCTTCGTTGAAAAATTATGATATTGATCCCCAGTACATGGTAGAATACAGTTGTTAGGGATAAGTGAGATGCTACACAGCAGTGGCAATTTGCGGCTGGATACCTGCTCCGATTACGAGCTTTACAAACAAGACAAGCAAGATGATGAAGGAAGCAATGCGACGACAAACAAGAGACAAAAACAAAGAGTGAGATGGTTATATGAGTGGCAATCTGCATCGGCTGTGTTTCAGTAATGGTGAAGTGCACGACCGTCTGCAAACAGTTGGCAAAGCGAAAGTTTATTGTCCGGGAACTGCGACCTTATTGTGCCAGGCTGGTGTCAGCGATACCCAAGCCTCCCCTTGTACTCCGCCGAGAGTGATGATGCCCGCTCTCACAGCAGATTCGGCGTACTCTCTCCATCGCTGAACACCCACCATAGTGTATGCATTTCGATCACGCTCCACGAGTGCACAAGCAATCACACTGCGTATTGGCCTCTCGATGCCGCGTACCCGATGATGCTCCAATAGGTGGATCAAGGTGCTGTACTCGGGAGGAATGGTATATGAGATCGTAGTTGGTGGCCGAGCGATGACAGGAGGGCTTGGCTTGCCAATAGTAGGAAGACCGTACCGTATTATCCCCGATGCACCTATGGGCGGCGGAGGTACTAGCGGAAGCTTGTCCGTCACATCTTGCGGGGCAGATATCGTGCGTGATTCAGACGCGGTCGGGACGGTCTTTGCAGCGGGTGCTACTACAGTAGACTGAGCGAAACCCGATATTCCGCTGTCTGCAAGGGCCCCCTCTGCTGCTCTTTGTCCGGGCCCACACTTCACAGACACACCAGTAGCTATACACCTAGGAGGGAACTCAGAACTGCACTGTCGATTGTCGGTCGCGTTGATCAGAGGAACGACTGCCTTCTGCCCATTAATCGATACTTGTATTTGAGCTGTGTCTGCAGGCGTGGTAGGGCCGGAGCTGTTCGCTGACAGAGGGGAACTGGACATATGAGGACTGGGGGTGTTGGGTGTGGCAACTGTCCGGACTTCTCGGGGCTGCATGATTGAAGGATTAGAAATGGGGCCTAGTGGCAGAGTAACAGTGGGCGCTCACGGCAGGGGTTGAGCTGTGAATCATCGGTTTGAATACTGCGTCCGCAGGAGTAGAGATGGTCTGTTAACGAATTTGATGGCATTAATAGCTGTTGGTATGGTTGTATGCGCAGAGATAACAAACCAGCTTGGGATGAAGAGAGCTGTCGGGTGCGGAAGTATTTCCTAAAGTCCGCAAATGCATATTAAGATCCGCAATCGGGCCGCTATCGTCGATCGCCGATTGTCCTGAGGTCGAAGCTGGAATAACGACAGAGCTTTCAGGGACCGGGGAAATAGCAGACTTATCCAAGGGAGTCAAGTGGGAGGTTGGTGGCAGGCTGTGTCCGGCATCTGGTGGAAGTTTGGTCTGAAGTCTTGGGCTTGCACCCATAGTCTGCGGAGACTCCACTACGGGAGTACTTAACGTTCCACGGAAGGAATGGCCGCGCTGCCTCTGTGGAGTCTGAGGGGTCGTTTCGAGAATGGAGAGCGACGACTGGCTTCGCCGGTGTGTATTGGGGCCGACATTGGGATGAGTTGCTGCATCAGTGCTAGCGGACCTTTGGTTTCCATTCGTGCTCTTGCCTAGTACGTCCGAATCCCAATCGAGAACGACGGATGCCTGTACTCTGAGGCTGCTATGGCTCGAGTTGGGTGCCACTAGGACGACGTTATATTTCCGTAGTCGTAAGACGGATACGGCGTAGACGAAATCCCGATCGCCAGAAATAAGTAGAATGGTGGCGGGCGCGGGTGTGTCAATAGCGTATGTGAGCATATCGACTGGACAGTGGAAGGAGCGGTCAAGACGCTGCATGGGTCCGTAGACATGAAGGAACATACTCGCCTATGATCATCTTATCCGCGACCTCCTTCTTCCCGTTGTGAGGACAGTCCGTCAACGAGACGCCACACGACTGCAGCTCAGAGCGCATGCCGATTATGGACTTGGAAGATGCCTGTTCGGACAGCGCGAGATAGGCCTTGAAGAGTTTCACACTGCCATATTGATGGGCAATGTCGCGGATGTTGTCGACAATGTCGAAGCCTGATATGGCGCAGGGTGGGGAGCAATTCTCTAGTGTACCTTCGTGAGCCGGTGGGATTATGATTGAAGTGGAGAAAGACGCACCATAATCCCAGAAGATGGCAACATGACGGAGGTCGCTCATTCGGTCGTCGATGCAGGAGAGAGTCAGAGGGTATTGGAACGTGCAGTCTACATGGACCGGGCTTTATAAGAGGAGGACAATCCGGCGGAAGGACTGCAGGCAGCGCTCACCGCCACACGATTTTGACAGCTCAATCATAAACGCCTGCCTTCTTGGGACATGCATATCATCTCCATAGCGCGGTGGGCGCGCGAGCCTGTCTGGCTTTCTCATTTGTCGCCCCGTATGCCGTCAGATTCGGCTGCATATGTCAAGCAGACCTCGCGCGCACGGTGGACGGTCCAGATTAGCGGCGTCGTCTGCACCAGGACTATGGCAATCGATGGCAATACACAGCATGGCTAAACCACGTTCTGCAGCAACCGGGACGCAGTCCGATTCCCCTGGAACTTCCAGAGCATAGCACATGGACGACTCTCCACGACCACAGCGATGGGGGCAGTGGGATGCATGGCGTCACTAGGAGCCGGGGGTGATGGCGATGAGTGCGGGTGGCGAGATGAGCATCCTCGGAGTGAATAGTGACGATACACAGCGTTCGACTTGAGTCTGATTTCTCGGCTAGCTCTCACAGGAACTTAATGAATAGATGAGCGGTAGATAGTAGGCCAGTGCTGCTTTGCACCCGGTCGCCTGTCGCGATCTCGCGGTCTGTCACGAGGATGCGCGCGTCGCGTAAGTGGCGAATATTCGCATTACTCTCGCAAGCGCCCGCCACCTGTCCTCTCGCAGCGCCGAGCTGCAACAATGCGACTGCTATGGGCCCTCCTCACTCTAGGTCCTGCTGTGCTTGCTCTTCCCTCGAACGACTCTGTGTCGCTGGAATGGGGCGTGTATCGCCCAAACCTCTACTTCGGCCTCAGGCCCCGGTTGCCGCAATCGCTTATGACCGGCCTTATGTGGTTTGGTACCCAGAACTACCAGTCTATCACCAGTAAGTAGAACTGTTGCTGTCAGCCCATCTTTGCGCCAATTGGATTATCCACAGGTGCAAGACACGCATGTGATCAGGGGGATGGTCTCAACGGCTATTCATGGACCGAGTACGACGCGCGCGAAGGTGGTGTACAAGTCATCAAAGATGGGCCAAACAACGTGATCATCACCACTGAGTTTCTGAAAATTCCTGGGGGAGAGCATGGTGGTAGTTGGGCTGCACGTATCAAAGGGAAGCCAATGGACCCAGGTGCGTGGCTGAGGGCATGCATTGGACATCATAGGTGGACTGGGACAGCACACAGCTTTTCCTAGCCGTATCTCTGCAATATTTTATGCTGGCCTAGAAGGCCTTGGCGGTTTGGATATGGAAACGGAGGAAGATGATAATGTAGGTCTTTCATTCTCGTCCTTGGGCCGGCATTAATTACACACTCCAGGGAATAGAAGGCCCTATACAGTTTGTTGGGTCATCTCCCGATTTGGACGAGTTTACCATTAGAATTGAAGATGGTTGGTGTTTGGCCAGCAGCAAGATCATTACTAAAACTTGCTCGACACAGGTCCCAGCAATGACGCGTTGACGACTGGCCCGCATGCCGCCGACTTCGCCCATCGACTTGAAAGGACCCATTTCATTGGCCGTCATGTCCAACCAGGAACAGTCTGGCAAGCTAGAGGTACGTGGTTCGTCTATGCAGGTGTTGCTCAATGCATATTTTATGACGCCAGAACATCTCATAAAGAACATTCTGACGCATGGGCAAGAGGTCTTATCACCATACACAGAATCTCCTTTGGGTCTTCCGGATCCGTCCTTTGGCTTACAATTCTCGGATGACGTCTATACTGGAAGCAACTTGTATGCTGTGCAAAAAATGTTCGACGGACCGTTTCAATTCGACGTGTTCTACGAGAGTGCAAGCGCTAAGCAGAAGCTTAGTGGTTCGTCTGCATCAATTTCGCTTTACATTTACACACCGCTGATTGGACAAGCTAGCTACGATATTGGACGAAGGCGTGCCTGCTCTTGTCGCGAAATACGACCAGAGATTCGACAGCGCTTTTCCCGTCCCTTCATCCTACCCAGCATCTGACGTGGTTGCACTCAAGGCATTCTCCAAGGCGATCACATCTAACCTCGTTGGTGGTATTGGTTATTTCTACGGCACTTCGATCGTCAACAAAGGGTTTTCCTACGATTGGGATAAAGAGGATCTGGATTCCTCGAGCTCAGACGACATCGAGGAGGGGGCTAAATTGACAGAACCCAGAGCCCTTCTGACAGCCACTCCTAGCAGAAGCTTCTTCCCACGTGGGTTTTACTGGTGAGTAGATAGCTCCGGTGGTGATTATACGAGCCTCATCTACTTAAGGGATGAGGGATTCCATTTGTTGCATATCGGCGAGTGGGACAACGATCTCAGGTGTGTTAACTCCCCATGTGATTATGAATATCATTCTGACCCAGTACATTAGCCTTGAGATCTTGAAAGACTGGATCAATCTCATCGACGATGATGGTTGGGTAGCACGGGAGCAAATTCTAGGCGAGGAAGCTCGCAGCAGGGTAAGCTACTGGTTTTGTTCTTTAGCGTATCCATACAGCATGGCTGAATGCTCCATGATTCAGGTACCTGCAGAATTTCAGACACAAGTTCCAACAAATGCCAATCCCCCGACGCTAGCTATGGCAATCACGGCTTTTATCGATCGCCTGAAACGTGTATCAGCGGAGCCCTCTGACCAGGAACTTGGCATGGACCTGGGACCAAACTCCCAGATCCCCCTAACTGGCTCCCCTGTCTCGTCTGTCGGGAGCCGCTATCTCGAGTCACACGAGCTCGCGCTCGAATATCTCGGGTCGATCTACCAGCCGCTCAAGCGCCACTATGACTGGTTCCGCCGCACACAGCGCGGCCAGATCAAGCAGTACTCGCGCAAAGCACGTTCACGCACAGAGGCATACCGATGGCGCGGACGCAGCGAGCTGCATGTGCTAACGAGCGGAATGGACGACTACCCACGCGGACCCCCGCACGCAGGTGAGCTGCATCTGGATCTGATTTCGTGGATGGCATTTTTCTCGCGGACCATGCGGGAGATCGCGGAGTTTATCGGAGAGGATGATGATGCCGCGGCGTTTGAAGAGATCGAGAGGGCTACAATTGATAACATTGATGGTGCGTTTGGGTCAGTGCGTGGTGGTGGGCTGTCATGATTAATGCTGTTGTACAGACCTGCACTGGAGCGAGGAGCATCAGATGTATTGCGATGCTAACGTGGATGACGATGGTACGTACTTGTTCTGACTTGTTGGTGCGAGAATGCAGCTCCATGTTTTGTGGCGTTATCGACCTTCTAGATGAGTCCTACCACGTCTGCCACAAGGGATATCTTTCCATTTTCCCATTTATGCTCGGCCTCCTCCCACCCGACTCACCGCACCTAGGGTCAATCCTCGATATGGTCCGCGACCCCAAGCACCTCTGGTCCCCATACGGTCTACGCAGTCTCTCTATTTCGCATCCTGAGTTTGGTAAGGGCGAGAACTACTGGAAAGGCCCCATTTGGATGCAGATGAACTTCCTTGCGCTGAAAGCGCTGTACAAGGTATGCTGATCGGACCGGCAACAGGATGTGTGATTTATGTTCCGCTGCTAGACGTACGCCGCGCAGGAGGGACCATATCAGCAACGCGCCCGGGAGATTTATGCCGAGCTGAGGCAGAACGTCGTTGACAATACCTTCAAGGTAAGCTCGGTCGCGGTTTTGAGAGTCACGTTTACATTTTTTGTTGCAGGAATATCAACGCACGGGTTACGTGTGGGAGCAATACGATGCGGTAACTGGAGAAGGAAAACGAAGGTATGCGATAACGGAATTCCATCGAAGTAGAACTGACATTTTGGGCATGATAGTCATCCTTTCACTGGATGGACGTCGCTCGTGACTTTGAGTAAGTTGTGTAATATCTGTTTTTTCCGATATTGGCTGATGTGCCTGTGTAGTACTATCGGAAAAATACTGAGTGGCCTTCGATTCCCCTCGTGCACTAGCAGTACAGCTCGACGCATGCATCATATTCTTTCATAATATTTATTCTCTTTGAATATTATCTTCTATTCGAGCCCCTTGTAGAGAAGTGCGAGAATGTCACGTTGATTCCAATCATTTTCAACGACGTTGTGAATATTCCTGATTGACTGAGTATAAAATGTGGGAACAAGGAATAGACGTGCAAAAGACCCTAAAAATTGGACCAATGTAGCAATGGCATGGTATGAATGAGAGACAAATATGTCGTGAAACATCAACGGTATACAGCAAGCGTTATGTCCATAAATATTCAGAGCACTATATTTCAGGTGAAAGCATCAGAAATCCTCGGGGTCAAAATGCAATGAATCGAAATGTAATGAGTCAAGTCTCATCTCTTCTAAGTCCGGGTCGGATATGCAAGCGTCGAGCTCAAACGGCGGCGACAAGTCTTCGGAGACGTATGCATACGACGAAATGGACGACGCCGAGGATGAGGATCTCGACGACGGGAGGGTGTGGGGGTCTGACTCTGCAGTTGCGAACGTGTCAGCAATGGATGATCGCGAGTCCTGGACCGACGTGGCAGAGGCTGGTGGGTTTGAGACGGAGAAAAGTTTCTGGAGCTCCAGCACAGAGATACGCTTACGGAAGGATTTCCGCTTGGATAGGCTTGATTTCGGAAGAGAGTGATCTCCTGTGCTGTGCGACGGTGGATCTGCGCAATCCTCCAGAGAAGGAGATGGGTGGAGGCGTCGAGCATGCGACTGCGACTGCGATTTCAAAGGTGAAGTCGCGCTGGGCAAAGTCTGCATGCTATGTCGAAGAGGCAGCGTGCTTGAGGACGATGCGACCGGTGATGTCGGGGAGTCGGGTTCTGCAGACATAGGACGGCTACTGTTGGAGAAGGTGAAAAGCTGCGAGAGAACGAGAGACCGGCGGCGAGTAAGGTTGGGCGAGGATGGGCGAGGGAGTGTTTCTCGAAACCTGGCATCCTCCGACACCCGGGCGTTTTCTCCGGAGACACAAGTGCTCGCGCTGACAGAGGAAACAGGGGGGCGAACGCCCTTGCCAACGTTCTTGATAGACTTGAATGCCTGTGTAGCTCGAGCCTTGAACGTCTTGGACTTCTTTATCGTATCTGCCTGTGGCTTCGAAATGTTCTCTCTGCCCTCATTCCGCCGGACTTTGACCACTTCGACAATCTCCTCGTCGAACGTTTTGCGCTTCACATCCTCTTCTGCGCCTGTCATAGCGGCCTCCCTCACATAAGTCAGAGACCCTCTCCTGGGAAGAACCACTGTGTCCTGTGAATCGTTCTGAAGCGAACGATGGAAGGCTGGCGCACGGTTGTCTACCTGTTGATGAAAGTGCAGAGCCGTGTCCAGAGCCTCGATGTCCGGCTCCGTAGCATGAGCACCCTGTGCAGCCTCGCTCGCATCAAAATAGCACCAGGGGGGATTCTCTTCCTGCTCCTCCTCCGGGGGGATGACAAACACGTTCGGCATGACTACTTGTTGCATTGAACAGTCGTGGGATGGCGGGGGTGCGCAGGGCAAGATGGATGATGCAATCGAGTTAAAGGAGAGTGAGGAGACCAGCATAGGGTCTTGTCGTGATGATAAACAAGAAAGCGGCGAGAGCGAAAGCGATGTTAGATGACACGAGAGAATTAACGCGGTAGGAAATGGATCCGAGCTCGACGCGTTCAACCACCCGTCAGCCGGAGCATGTGCGCGTGACCGCGCAACCGGTGACTGCCCTTTATGGCAGGTCCTGTAGTTCGCACTAAATGATTCGATTTAGTCTCCGTTGTTGACTATATATAGGCATGAATCATAATCAGTTCTTATCTAAATATATAGATTCTATTTTAAAGAACGCAAGTTCCTATGTAAGTTACAAGACGAATATGATACTGTAGGTTACGAAGACCACCTCCCACTGACTAATTCGAGGATTTTTCTTTCGCAGAAGTACCTGGAGGGGGAACAACGCTCATACTGGGCGCAGTAGCATCTTGTACAGCCCACTTGGAGTGTTTCCGCAGCCAGGGGCCGTATTTCTGTCAAACGCGTAACCCGTCAGCTGGGGGATTGACGAATACGCAGGATGACATACGTAGAACAAAAAGGGTATAGGCATGCAGGCTGTCACCAAGAACGCAAAGACGCTGCAAGCCCAGCCGTCCCCAAGGTTCTTATACATGGTGGGTATGATAAGGGGAAACACCGCCGCAACCACAGATCGCAGCACTACTGTCGCTGCCAGAGCGCTCGCCGCATATATCTGGTATCCGTCCACGAGGTATTGCGTCGCGCCGAACAAAACTAAGGCCACTCCAATCCCGAATGGCACGCCCGCAAGTATTGGACTAAGCCAGAAAATATGCGGTGAACTCGTCCTATCATATAAATCACTATATGTTGAATGGGGTGGGAGAGTGTTAGATCGACGCACCATGCAAACCAAAACATCCCGATAGGCAAACAGATGGCACCAAACATGGGCGCATATAACCGTCTACAGATGTTACATCTAAACGTAAATCCCGGACGAGTTGCGAAGAGCACTCACTGTTCAGGCGCAGCTCGGCCGGTAGGACTACGAGCCGCGGCAGCCTGATACATTCTATTCTGTATGGGAGTCAAGCATAAACCAAGCGTGGTTCCAACGCCGACCCCGATGAAGGCTAGCCCGCCGAGACCAGATGACCATCCTCGCTGTTCCTGGAATACGATCGGGAAAGCGGCAAAGAAGGCGTATAGGATAGCGTATGCGATAGATCCGTATATCGCAAGGAGGAGAACGATTGGCTCGGTTGCAAGAAATACTAAGTGGGGATGACGATATGAGCAAATCGATTCGGCACCTTGTTTCATGCGTTTGACTGCTCACCGAATGGGCGTACCATATTTTTTCGAAAGATGTCTATGCGCTTGCGCGAGTGTCCAACATCATACTTTGATATGTACACGGCGTTATTTCCGGACCCTCTGCGCAATCTCTCTGCGCGCCTGCGTAGTAGAACTGGCGCGTACTAGATAGCTATGTCAGTAAGCAACTACGCTAAGCGTTCCACGCGTGGACTCACTGTCTCTGGTTCGATCACGACAAATCCGATAGTAGTGACGCCAGAGAGGATGAACATGATCCAGAAGTTAAATCGCCACCCAAGGTAAGACATTGCCACCCATCCGCCAATAACTGGGCCAATGACTGGGGTACAACAGATCAGTACGTAACTCATTCTGAAAGCAGCCGCCTTACCTGGACCCAAAAAGATCGCACATGCATATAGTGATCCTGGAAAGCCTCGCTCGCGAGGTATCCACATGTCAGACATAGCTGCGCTTGAGTTTGTGAACGCTGAAGGTCACGGTAAACCACACATAGTTGGATTCGTGGGCGGTAGAGCTCACGCGACACGCCAAACATTCCCGCTAGCATACGAGTTGCCAATAGTGTTGCAGTGTTCTTGCAAAGGCTGCCACCCAAGTGTAAAAGGGTGAAGGCGGTGAATGTCCCAATGAAGATATTTCGCTTGCAGATGGATTCGCCGTTAGCAAATTTGCGAATCAACTGAAATGCCTGATCATCCAGCTCACTCTGCCGTACATCTGACATAATTTAGCAGATCAGAATGTCATACAGCTAGTATGTGATACTGGTGATACTCACCTCACTCATTGGGGCCCAGAAGAGAGGACTAGAAAACGGAAGCTATCAAGGCGAGAACAGTTAAAGGGAACACGCGGACGGCATACCCAACCGTAAAGCCAAGGATGTACAATGACACGCCTAGGATAGCTACTTCTGTCGTGAGATGCAGATCCATAGCGGTATAAGTCAGGCCAGCACTGTAGGAGCTGCTGCAAAAGGATGCAACCCAAGTGGCATATGCGAGCTGCGTGAAGTTTGGGTGTAGTCGATCAGCAGACAAGTTTCCTGATTTCACGGGTAGCATATCATACGTGAGATGTTATAACCCATTTCCGTCGCTTTGACCAATTGAATGGATTCTCCGGATCGGCTTTCTTCCAGTCTACCACATACGGATCCTCAAGAGTTCCACTTCCTGGATATTCTTTCTCTTCATGAACAACGAGAGCGGAATAGACTGAGTTGGTATTCTTTGTATCCGAGCTAGGACCGGTGCCGGTCTCGATATCGTGAAGCGTCGCCGGCTGAGGGTCTGACATGGGGTACGTGAGATGGGGGCGACACTCATCATCGGGCTTTATACGACCAACGGTCAGTATGTAATCCCAGATATGAAATCAGTCTGCCCGCAGGGGACTCGGAGTGTATCACATCCATCATACTAGCCAGAAGTTTGATCTGCGCTCCCAGAAAAAAAAAACGAAAAACAGAAAATATCAGGGTTACTTACCTCACCCTGCGTGACCATCCAAATACATCCACCCCTATGATCTTCATTTTTGTGTTTTTCCAAGCATCCACGAATGCATTGTAACTAAGGATTCGCAGGCACCACGCGAAAACCAAAATTTATAACATCACCATCATAGCGGTCTCCATTGTTCTCATTCCAATTTCATTGCTCCCACTGCCCGGCGGGGACGACTAAAAATGCGCAACTGTTTGAGGATCTCTTCGCCGGTTGCACGGCTCCAGTCTCAACCAGTCCTCGACCTCAGCCTTCCCGCAAAAATCAAAGCGGCTGCTTTCCAGGAGGTTCGGGTGCAATTAGCTCCAGGGCTGTGATATGCCTGAGCGTCATGCCATTACACCCTTCGGTTGGGCTGCTTGAATGCTGCTTGTGATGTTGCTGTTCGAAGCTGAAAAGCAGTGGGGAACCTTGTCCTATTAATCAAAGCCGAGTAAAGAGACGAGATGATATGCATGGAGCTATCGCACACGGCTTCAGAGCTTCAGTCTCGACCAGTCCCCGACCTCAGCCTTCCCGCAAAACCAAGAGCGGCTGCTTTCCATGAGGTCCGGGAGGGTCCGGGTGCAATTGGCCCAGAGGCTGTGATATGCCTGAGCGTCATATCATGAGACTCTTCGATTGGGCTGCTCGAGTGCTGCTTATGTGCTGCTGTTCGAGGTCAACAAGCAGTGGGGAACCTAATCCTAGTGATCAAAGCCGAGTGAAGAGACAGAATTACACCGTGGAGAAACCACGTACGGCTTCGGAGCTTCAGTCTCGACCAGTCCTTGACCTCAGCCTTCCCGCAAAACCAAGAGCGGCTGCTTTCCATGAGGTCCGGGGCCCGGGTGCAATTGGTTCAGAGGCCGTGATTAGTATGCCCGAACGTTATGGCGTGATACCCATTGATTGCACTGGTTGTGCGCTGCTGTTCGAGTTCGACAACCAGCGGAAGGCTTCCTGTCCTAGTGATCAAGACCGGGTGAGGGAATATAAATGTATGCACGGTGCGATCGCGCTGTACCAACTTACAAACGACACAACTGGAACCGTGTGAATGGATCGATCACATCAGATACAACTGGGACCGCAGCCTCTCACGGAGTCCGAAGTCACTCGTCGCCACTAGCCCAAGGTCGTCGACGCACACCGTGCCAATATGTCAAGTCTCTCTATTCTCCATTTCAACGATGTTTACCGTGTTCAGCCATTCAAGTTGTCTCCAAATTCACCAGAAACCATTGATGTGACTCAATGGGCGGCCATGCTAGATGATGTGCGCGATCAGTGGCCCATGAGAGTCGACGGAAAGCGGGACGGTCTGGTCCTTTTCTCTGGAGACATCTTCTCGCCTTCCATGGAGAGCTCTGTGACGCGGGGCAGTCATATGGTTCGCAACAGAGTCTTTCTGGAGGGTGCTTGTCCAACCGTCAATGCGGCACTTTGTAGGTTCCTGTATTGAACGCAATCGCCCCAGACGTCGCCATGACAGGTTCGCTATCTTTAATTTTCCTTCCATGACTGCTTAACTTAGGCCACGGACTGTTAGGAAATCATGATTTCGACTTTGGTAGGTCTACCATTGGATCGTAACAGATGCATCTGCTGATGCGTGTGATGGGGAGACCAGGGTATCCACATTTTTCTGAATTGATAAAGGATACAAAATTTGTAGGATTCTCGCTGAATGCGTGACAGCGTTGACGGACAGATCTTTACAGCCTTGGCTCCTCAGCAATATTATAGACTCCAAGACTTCCCGCGTTCCCGAACATGTACATGAATTCCAAGTGTTAGAACGGTCAGGTGTTCGAGTCGGCGTGATCGGGCTCGTCGAGAAGTATGTAGGGACCGTCTATACGGCGCACATAAGCAGGGGTGACCGTGCTTTACGTGCCCCACAGGGAATGGATCGGCACGGTCTCTTCCTGGCCGGAGAATTTCCAATATAAAGATATGGCCCAAGCCAGTATTGGGTTATCAAAACGCCTCCGCGATCCCAAGGGTGAGCACAAGTGCGACATTGTAATTGCTCTTACTCATGCCAGGTAACTATTTGCGTGTATGCTAAAGTTATTTCACGCTGACTGGGCTGTTCTCTAGAGTCCCAAATGTATATCTTTCTGCTCCTGTATATACACACCGTCCAAAATTCACCCCTTCCTCCAGGATGTAGCCCTCGCTAAAGCTATCAAGGCAAGCTCCCCATTCGCCCAGGAAGCCAATCCGATTGAATCAGAACATGGAGTCGATCTCATTCTGGGAGGACATGATCACCTTTACTTCGTCTCACACGGGGTGACTGCATGGGAAGGATACGACATCACCGAGCCTGTATTAGGTGCGGAAGCCGATGAAGGTGACGTACTCGTGGTTAAGAGCGGATGCGACTTCCGAGACCTCAGCGAGTTTACCCTCGAGCTGGCCGATACTCCTCCTGGTAGTGTGCGCCGGAAGGTGATCAGGAAAATTACTGGTATGTATGTCATTTCGGGTCTTCTGGGTAGAATCCTGAATTATCCCAGGAAAGCGCCACTCCACGCAGCCCGGGTCCAAGAAGAACCCACGGATCGCTGAACTGCTCAAGGATATTCTCTCGTCTGTTTCAGATGCATTGAAGGCGCCTGTTTGCAAGACTGCTGTTGAATTGGACCTCCGCTCTACCCTCATCCGCACACAGGAGGTAAGTGCATATCTTCCTCTACGTTCACGGTCTGAAACTTGTGCTTATTGCATACACGCAACTCGTAGACCGCATCAGCTAATTGGTTTGCAGACGTCTTGCGACACGCCTACGACGAGGCGCCTATGATGGCAGGGGGCTCAGACGGCGTATTCATCTGTGCAGGCACCCTCCGCGGTGATTCAGTTTATAGTCCCGGTATGTAGCTGCCCTACTTCTATGTTCCATTGTGGATCATAATGGGCTATACAGGGAATATCATACTTGGGGATATCCTGGAAATATTACCATTTGAAGATCCCGTCGTTGCGCTAGAATTAGATGGAGAGTCGATTTGGGATGCGCTCGAGCAATCACTATCGACTTGGCCTGCACAGGAAGGGTTGGTACTGACCTTGACACATTTTTGAGCGAGGCATACTGATGTCATGCGACTCTCCAGTCGCTTCCCCGTTATTTCTGGCTTCCGTGTCTCGTGGGATTCCAGACGCCCTCCTGGACAACGAGTTCTTGGAGTGTGGCTCCTCCAAGAGCCTTCGGGTAGCGTTAGTGTTAGTCGATCAGCTTCTCCTTCCCCTTCGCCGTCTACCTCAATGACCAGCTTGCAATCCAACAAATCTGCGACCAGTGGTGCCTCAACCCCCTCGCGAGCCCTTGCCGACGGAGAAGTTGTAGCACGTACTCGTGAGGGGCGCAAATATCGGATCATCACCCGTGAATATATGGCGCAGGGTCATGACGGCTTTGGGGCCCTCAATGGACAGCGCTATCTCGTGGACGACGAGAGTGGACAAATGATGAGTCAAATTGTCCGCAAGTATTTGCTGGGTATGTTATGTATCTCGACGCGCAAAGACGTGCATACTGACAAACTAAATGTGCTGACGTCTAGGCTGCCGCTATGTGAACCGCATGTCACGGATTAAGGATATGGACACTCTCCATCCTGACACCCAACACCTTATCTCGCGCGAGAAAGCACGACAGGAACGCTACGGACGACGGCCCAAACCTCAGCCGCATCATTCCTCCACGAGTCTCAACAGCAAATTGCGACACGCAGCAAAGGTTGCATTACGGTGGACTCGAGGACACTACCGCGATCATATCAGCGTCACTGGTCGTGAACACATGAGCGAGGTAGACCAATTTGATGGCAGAACCTTGAGAAGAGGCACGATCATTGAAGCGAAATCAGATGGTCCGACGGGGAATGTAAAAGAGGAAGAGGATTTGATTGAGATTCATCCTGTCGTCGATGGCAGGCTCAAAGACGAAGGAAGGAAGTAGCTCCGTTTGCTCCCGTCAGCATTAGAGTCTGAACAACACAGACACGAGACAGCTGCTATTGTACAGTAGTTTGATCCCTTTTCGCGACGAAAACCTTCATGTCCGTGGAGAGGGCCCAGTGTTCCTATATGCACGACCGTCCAAGAGATGGAAACGTGAATACCACTCGTAAGTACTGCTATCCTATTGTTTCCACTACCGGCCCTGGAAAGGCACCAAGGAGTGTAGCGACTCGAGAGCCGTTGCGAATTGGAGTAGTTGTCATGTGTCATTCTCATTCAGGCACGGGTACATCTGGTACTCGAACGACTGGTGGTGGATCTCCAGAAACGGTTCTTGTATAATGAGTGAGGAGACCGACAGCAGATCCCATGCCAGCACCACCTAGAATCACTAAACCAGAGGAGTTAAACGTGCATATAGGGAGTTGCAGTATTGTCAACCCTCACAATTCGCAATATTGGCTCGTTTCCAGAGCATAGCTGGAGTAAGGACAGCGAAGAGCGCGCCACCGATAGTAGAATGGTCATCGGCTCGTATTGAAGATGTCTGCAGGAAATAATAATTTGACTGTCTGGACAGTGCGAGTGTGGAGAAGCATACATCATACGCATAAAGAATCCGACGAGCCCTTATCTTTTCCGGGTTTGAGTACGCTGATCTCACGTATTCAAACGCCCCTCCGCCGACAATGCCTGTGTACCACGTCCCGGTGAAGTTGGAACCTAGCGCCTAAATCCTATGGCTTACCCACAGAGCCACCTACCCATGTGGCACGCAGAAGGCGATTGACAGAAAATTGGGACCGCCCATACCGTGAGAGGGCAAACGTAGCATACAGCGGGGGAGCAAGCAGAGACAGGACCTGGTAGCCTTTCGTCATTCCACGCCGCACAAGAAACTCAACGTCCGCAGCATGCGCTTGAGGCGTTGCAGCCACTGCAAAGCTGTCCGTCATAATCGTTGTAGCACTAGAAATCCAGGGGAAGGAAGGGTGCTGTTGTTGCGTCCGAAACAGTCCAAGGCGGTGAGAGTCGATTTCGACTGCAACTGGTGAAGGGGTAGAACGCGTATCACGTGCACCGTTCCTGCCGAGCTCGGACGCGGCGCGAGCCGTAAGCGCCCAACACTCCCCCGCATCCGGGGGAGTTTCTGACAGACGGCCTCGATAGTATCGCGCACTAACCGAGATCCCGGGAGTCGAGCTTGAAGCTTGAAGTACCGACTCTTTAGGGCCGTATGAGGGGAGGAGTTCTCTCGAGCGGCTCCGACTCCGACTCGCTATAGATACGGAATGCACCGCAGAATATATGACTATGTATTCACTTTTCATGAAGGAATTCTGAAAGACATACAAGCCACTCTCACGCGACCTGCACATCGTTGCTCTAACAGCATGATCACGTTGGCTGCTGCTATAAGGCAGCTACAAATCAGCAAATATAAGATAGGGCCTATGCTCAGAACTTCCATTTGCATGACAGATGGCATGTACAGAAAGATGTCACACCTGCGAAAGGCGGTTAGAATGACCCTACATCAACCATAGACCGCCTCCATTTCGAGGTCAACTCATCAACCTTGAGCACAACACCAGCTGCCGCTCTCCTCAGCTTAACCTCGTGTATTCCACCTTCTCCGAGCACCCGGGAACCCTTGTCCAATCTCGAGAACACCTCTCCGGCCCACTGTCCAGCACCGAGCAACAGTGCAGTATGTTCCAGTCCAAGAGAACGTCCCCCATCAAGATCCAAGCATCCGTCCAGCACGATCAATGCCAGCTCAAGCGCAGCAGTCAGCACAGCCGCCTCTTTTCCCCTCCGTCTCGTCCCCGCATTGCTGCTTTTTTCAGGTGAGCTCTCGGTGTCTTCGTCTTCATCTTCGTCTTCACCCTCAGCCATTGAGACCGGACGAGTACCAATGGTCACCGCCAATTCCAGCGAATCCGGAGCGACGATCGCAAGCCATTCTCGTGCGTTTCTTGCCGCATGGACCAATACCGTAAGCGTACTTAAGAATCGCGACAGCACCACAGCATTGAGGATGAGACCTGTCCCCGCGCCTTTGTACTGATGGAGGGCGGGCTGGCGCATGGTGCGCTCCTCGCGCGTTTGTTCGTCTCGGAGGAACAACCAGAAGCGATTGATCAGGGGGCATATGAAGAACTCTGCCGCGACCTCGGTAAATGTCGTGGATTTAGGCTGAGCTTGCGTTCCCAGCCGAGTGAGCGCAGAGCCGCTGGGTTTCACCTCGGTCACTTTGGCAGGCTGCCGGATGCGAAGCTGACGTTCGCGCACGAACTGTGGTACCTTGTCGGCGGTGGCTTCTTGTCCCTTGTCGAGTGCGTCGCGACTGATATCTTCGAGGAACTTTTGCACAGGGTTGTGTGCATTGGTGTGGTCCCCGCCAGTTATATATTTTTTGTGTTGAGCGGGGGGAAGCTGTCTGCTGGGGAAGCTTATCCGGTTCGCTGGTAGGGGTCGTGCCGTAGAGGATGTCCCAAATGAGATTGAGGCAAGCTCGCCTGTACCCACCGCGAGAGCATTTAACATCACGTAACGTTGAGTTGTCGAGTATTGGTTTCTGAAGAATTCCTCGATAAGAGTCCTAGTAGGAATGATGGGGTTGTGTCAGATTTTGAATAGTAACGGAAACAAGCGTAACTTACGGAGCTGCTTTACGCGGGCAACAGGCCACCAACGCATTCAATGCTGCCTGTCGCCTCTCGTCGAAGTCGGCAATCTCGTAATTGTCTTGGAGACCGATGAATCCGTGAACAAGGTTGATAGCATTCTCTTCTGCAGGCAGCATATTTAGGACGCCCTAGTACTCTGAATGGATAAAATTAAGATTCAGAGAGAATTCTCACCAAGTTCGCTACCATAGGCTCGCTTCCTACGGATCAGCTCCTCAGCCACTTCAAGTGCCATCTCGATCTTTTCGACCTGCATTTCTTCTCCTTCTGTTCGCAGACCCGATGTACTACGAACCAATTGCCCGAGCTGAGCGAGATATACTGGGCGCGGAATTTTCTTTTGTCCAACGCGCAGAGTCGGATCCTTCTCTATCTCGGCAAGTTCAGAAGGGGTAGGCGAGGAAGACCGGGATGACGACGGTGTAGAGGCATAGCCCGTGAGGGAATCGTCTGAGTCGTATTGTACATCCTCCATAACTGCTAGTCTCGGCGGATGACCGGACGTTCCGGAGTGCACTGGGGCCTGATCTGCAGCATCGTGCTCATCACTCGTATTTTGATCTGGCGTGGCGCCCTTTGCGTCGGACTCGAAGCTGATAGTTTCTGCGTCTGCATCGCGTTCTGAAATTAGCAGTCTAAGCTGGCGACACCAGACTTTTCCCTGATCCTCGCCGTCCCAATCACCGAAGTCCAGCTTTTTGCCGGCTCCACTTGCTACTTCCTCCCCTACGAGCATTCCGCAGCGGCGGACAGAGGGATCGAGGTGGGAGATATACGTGGAGATAGAGGTGATGAATGGCGGTGAGAGAGCTAATTTTTGGCAATGTCGACTTTCTATCGGCCGGAAGGAATTCAGTGTCAGCAGGAGGAGAGCCGTGATATCTACATGGTGGATCAAGATCTGTTTCTAGAGTAGAATGTGGCTGGCGAAAATACTCACAATGGTGCCGCGAGAGGAGAGAATGCTTGATATGCTCCGGACTGGTCCACATGTCAACCACCCTGGACAGCACCGACTCTAACCCTATAAGAAATCTTGAGAGATGTGAAACTGGTAAATGTATTAGTATACACATTACCTTCGATGTCTGCTGTACTGCTCTCAGCCCCGGCGGCCCAACATGCAAAGATTCGTGCGCGACCTTCGCTCCACTCTCGACCTAGGGCTATGGCACTGAAGGCATCTAATACCTCACCATTATCAGTATCCAATCGTCCCAGCAAGCCCTTTAAAAGCTGCGCTTCGCGTTTTACGAGCGAGCGAGCAGATGTTGAAGTATCAAGGGACGGAGATATTTCCGCTAACGATGATAAAAGAGATAGTATTATGGAGTGGCGTGTCTGGTAAGACGGGAGAGATAATATGATTTGTTGCCAAAATTCTGCATACGATTCATCTGGATAAGACAGTCGTGTCCGAACAACAGGCAATGTGACCTCAAAGAATGCAGGCTGTGACAGAGATGCAAGCCGCGAATGGGTGAAAAGGCCGATGTTGACTAGCTTAGTGAGAAGATAGACGATAGATGAAACATATTCTATTCGCAAAATACATAAGCATGTGCGCATCTAGAGGCCTAGTACAAACCTCGAGATGGACTCCGAGACAATGCATATATCAGGCACTCGCATCGTACACTGAGATTTTTGAGGTAAGTTCCCTGCTCAAGAGACGACGGGATCACAGTCCCTCCTCCCATCATGTTAGAGGCCTTGGCCGGGATGGCCGCAACATTTCGGACGCAGTCCTCCCAAGTAATGATCTGCTTGCCAGACGATCCCTTCCTACCATCAATAGAATATACCACCGAGTGCAACACATCTATGGGATATGATCGGCTGAGTTTGTCCAGCAAGCGAAGTGATACATCTGTGAAAGGTAGAGAAAGAATACTTGAGTACGCATGGACCGCGACCTGGCCGGCTGCGGACGACGCAAAGGAAATGGAATCAGGACAGAAATACTGTTCGGCGAGGGCCCAAGTGTCCCCCTCTACGAGTGATGCCTCCCACGTTGGGAGAACATGTTCGAGTAGAGCGCGCTGCAAAGGAGGAAGGTGGCGCGATATGATAAAGGAACCTGCGATGAGAGGAGATTCGTTGTATCCTCTGAATTTTGGCGGAAGGAGGTTCAGATACGCGAGAGGGGCGGCAAGGAGCTGATAGAGGGTCGTCGCATCTGGTACAGGAGATTGCAGACGCGTTATAATGACCCGAATTTGCTCGATCGCAGAGTCGTGAAATTCGGCCGACATGCGTGTTATAACCCGCAGAAGTTTCGGTGTCGCAGAGGAACGGTCAGAGAGTCGGCCAAGCGACAGACCAGCTTGAAGCAAAGGAACCTCGTTCGGGATGAGAATATGTAGGCAAATCTAAGGCAAACGAGAAGGAAACGATCCGTCGGAGTCGTGCTCACGTGCTTATCCACGACATTGCGAATCGCAAGTCTAAGGCGGCGCAATCGACTCGGACATGCCAGCGAGCCTCCGTAATGTGACGCAGCTCCGTTTATTCTCTTTTCTGGCGAGCCCGACAGTGGGGCTTTTATATACTGAGTTCGTTACTGGTGTCGGCGTTATTTGGCGTCACTAGCACGGTCCCATTCACGTCATTAGGTCACCCTTGGCTGCAATTTCCCACTCAACATGTCCTCTATGCTGCGAGCGACGCGTTGCATTGGCCATTCTGCGTCTGGTCGTTTACTCAGGCCGTGCGATGCGACATGCAGGCCTCTTGCACGCTATGTATCGACTCATCCCACGAGTCACTCTGCGTCCCCCCTCAGTAGAAGCGTGCAGGGATTTGTCGTCGGAGCTATCTCTGCGCTCGCTCTTGGATACTATGTTCAGAACAAGAGTCCCGTTTATCTAGACGGCGCGAATGTGGTGCATGGTGATAATACTCTCCCGAAACGCACGCCGAAAACCACAAAAGATCGCTCGCTACCGGAGCCCCCCAGCCCGTCTCAGTATGCGTCGAGAGAGGAGATACAACAGGCTATCGCCGAATTGCGCAAGGCTCTCCCAAGAGAGGGTGCTGTTGATACTAACCCAGACGTTGTGCAGACGTATGGGCACTCTGACAATTCGTATCATCCTACTTCTCCACATTCCGTCGTGGTACGACCGCGAAGCACGGACGACGTCGTGAAGGTGGTGAACATTGCACGTAAATTCAGGGTGCCCATTGTACCCTACAGTGGTGCAACCAGTCTAGAGGGCCATTTCTCCGGGGTATGTCACTCCCACTAACCAACGTCCGACGTCTGACAGCGATCTCACTAGCTCTCGACTGGAGACATATGTCTAGATATGTCCGGAATGGATCAGATCATCGAAATTCATGGTACGTCTCAGTATACCGCACTCTGACAAATCAATTTATCGCTTTTGGAATATTCTAGAGGATGATGGCGACCTAGTATGCCAATCTGGAGTTCAGTGGGAAACAATCAACCAAACTCTGAAGGACAAAGGAATCCCACTGTTCTTTCCTGTGAGTAGACACCCCCGAGGGAAATTGAGACGTTTTCAAATTGTTCAACAGCTTGATCCAGGACCTGGGGCGGTATGTACAGTTCTTCCCCTCGATACTTGCAGACATTCATGGGAGTAGACAATCGGAGGAATGATTGGAACGGGCTGTTCGGGAAGTGAGTGGCCGATTGAACCAGTAAGTCAGCAGAAAGAGCTAATGCTCCAATAAGCGAACGCTGTCCGATACGGGACCGCGAAGGGCGAATGGTTTTTAAACATTGCACGTCCATTTCATATTAGCCGTGTGATTGAGCTTACCGATGTTCAGACGGCTGTGCTACCTAACGGGAAAGTCATCAAGACACGTCGGAGAGCACGCAAGTCCGCCGCCGGCTTTGATACGACCAAGTTGTTCATTGGCGCCGAGGGAACGCTTGGAATAGTGACTGAAGGTATACTGTTGCGCATTCGCTCATTATGGCGCGGGTTCTGACATGTCGCAAAGCCACTTTGCGCCTGGCCCCAGTGATACCCACTAAAGTTGCTATGGCACAATTTCCCGATGTTGAACGCGCGGTTGGTGCAGTCCAAGAGATACTCAATAGTCCTCATGGTCCTCACCTCCGTACGAACACCTTTAAACACAGTTCACTGCTAAGTACTGATCTCGTGCATTCGCAGAATGTGTAGAGCTACTTGACGATAATAGTAAGATATGTTTCGCCTTGTATATTGAATATCCCTAATACTCTTCGCAGTGATGGCTGCCATAAACACTGCCGGGGAGGTGTCGAGGAACCTGCCAGTTAGCGACACGTTATTCTTCAAGATCCAAGGCGACGAAGCCGCTATCACCGCAACTGCGCGAGCTGTACAGGAAGCTGTTCGGCGACATGGAAGCACTAATTTCGAATTTGCTCAGACGGACGAAGAGGCGAGTGAACTGTGGGAGAGCAGGAAATATGCTCTCATCAGCACTCTCGGTAGTGTGCCCGGAGCGCGATGCTGGACGACTGACGTATGGTCAGTTTTCGTGCTAGGACACGGGCTTCGTGTATCTGGTACTAATAGCACGGCTGCCGCAGTGTCCCACCCTCTCGCCTTCCTCAACTTGTGTATGAGACAAAGAAGGACCTCGTAGAGCAGAAGCTACAGTCAACCATCGTCGGCCATGTCGGGGATGGTACGCGCTATGCGTGGATTCAAATAAGATTGCACAACTGAATGGTATGCAGGTAATTTCCATGCTCTGCTTCTCTTCAAAGACGACAAAGAACTCGAAGTCGTCACGGACGCTGTGCATCGATTGGTGGAGCGTGCAATTAGACTTGACGGGACGTGTATGTATTAATGTCAAACGTCGGCGATTGTATCCTGACGTCGGTTCTTTAGGTACGGGCGAGCATGGCGTAGGTGTGGGCAAGAAGGAATACCTTGTGCAGGAGCTCGGTGAAGATACGGTCGAGCTTATGAGGACGATCAAACGTGCTATCGATCCGTTAAACATCATGAACCCCAGCAAGGTTAGTGGATAGCGCGTCCCATCTAGTTTCTGCCTGTTAATCCGATTTTGCATCCAGTTATACCCAAACCCTCCAGAGCCTAAGAAGAGGGACGACTAAAAGGGGCCCAGATTATTGACAGTTGGATCTACGATACAGTCTATAACATTGCTCTAGAGATACATCCCTATCTTCATTGTCAGAGGAGGATTACAAAGTTGTTCCTCTTTCCTTGTCGAAGAACTGTTTTCTTCTGATATGTCGTC